AGTGTGAGTAAGCATGAGTGTGAGTGACTCTGGGTGCTAGTGACCCGGAGTATGAGCGAGTGTGAATGCGATCGTGTGTCTAAGTGCGAGTAGGCGTGCAGGTGAAAGACCCATGCTCCTGACGCCAGGATCACGGGCGTGTCTACCTCTGGGCGGCCCCCGGGAACCACTGTCGGGCCCCAGGGCCGTCAAACCATCATCCGGGAAACAGAATACGAGCCCCAGGGAATCCATGGGGTCTGGACTGCTCGGGACCGCGCGTCGAAGAACAAGCAGGACGTCGAAGGTCCAGGCTCGAGGACCAATACAGCGGAGGCCCGACCACAAGAAACCTTCCACAAGAAACCCAACCCTGAAAACCCAGGACCTCCCTTGATTTTTGGCGTGGGACGTCACCCTCTCCACAGCAGAACCATCGAAACGTAGGAAACCCAGGGCACCCTGGAGGCAAGTAGGGTGTTTCTTGGCATGGGCCCCCACTGTAAAGGACCTTTGTTGCATGCCTTTGGCATGGCTTTCAAAACGTTTGGAGCCCCCGTTTGCGCTTCGGGCTGGCCCTCTGGGGGCCCCAGTGAGCGCGCGAGGGTCCCCATGTTCAGACATCCCGACGCCTTCACATTTTCAAGGCGCGGTCCCCCGAAGTCCCGACCCCTTCCCCAGGGCCAGCACTGCGTCCTGAGCCGTTCTGAGATGGTCGTGGGGCCCCGGCAGGGGCCCCCGACGGCAAGAACAACTGCGAGAAACCTCCGTCTTGACTTTTGTCCGATGGGTTGGAGGTCTGGGCCCCAGGGGTGGCACCAATACTTGCAGGCCAGTCCTCCAGCAGGGCCCCGAGCTCCTCCTTGGCCCTGGCACGAACGCCGTCGAGCTGGTCCGCCTCCTGTCGGGGGGGGGGAACCGGATGCCTTTCGCAGCCAAACACTAGGACATTCTTCCGTCTCAGAGCAACAGCGTAACGAAACGTGCGCACAGATTTGACTGCAGCGCGCTGGCGAACGAAAAGCGATCCAGGAACAGACCCAGTAAGTATTACTTCGGGCATGTTCTGCTACAGCCAGATTTTGGGCGAGAGATGAGACATGGTCACAGAAAAAGTCACTAATAGTTATCAAACACCGTCCTCCGACGATTCTCTTTATTATTTTTGAGTGCTCCTCCCGTAGAGGCACAGGCCCGACTTAGGTTTGGTGCGAGCGGCACGGGACCGGACCCGGCGGGCGCAGGCCCGCAGAGGCTGTGGCCGCAGCACCCCGGAGAGACGGACGTGGGGCCCCTGCGATGCAGCGGGGGCTCGGCCACAGGGAACCTTCCGCGAGAAGCTCAACCCCGGAGGCCTCTTGGACCAGAGAGCAAGACATCCCCCCCCACAGTCACCACCACGACACGCGAAGCCGTTTACTAAACGCCCCCACTGAAGGAATCGAACAGGGCAAGGCTGTTTAGAAAACCCCCAAGGCCGCTTTGTAAACGCCAATTGTCCGGTCTGGGTGGCTTTTCCTCCTTGATAGAGGGGGTCGGAGTAGATGGAGTCGGGAGACCCCGCCGCATCGCCGATACATCGGCGATGCGTCGCCGATGCATCGGCGATGCATCGGCCATGCACTGGCGACGCCGGCGATGCATCGGCGACGTCGGCGTGGAGAAACTTGGGCCCCACATCGAGCCGCATCGCTGATGCATCGCCGATGCATGGGCTATACGGCGCGATCCTCTGACCCCATCTACTCTGACCCCATCTAGGATCCCTAGAAACCCTGAGACCCCAGGACGTCCATTGATTCTTGGTGTGGGAACGCCACGCCCTCCGTAGTCAAACCATCGAAACCCAAGAAGCCCAGGGCATCATGAAGGCAAGCAGGGTGTTTCTTGGGCTTCCACTGCAAGCGGCCTGGCAGAGCTGGGGCTCTGCCGACCTCCGGTCCTGGGAGATCTCCTGCAGAGTCCGCTCCAGTAGCGTGGAGGTGCTCAGGCTGCCGGGCTCGTCCCAGCGCGCTGGGCCCCGCAGCGGCGCCCGCAGCTCGCGGAGCTGCGCGCCCACCTCCTCCTGCCGAGCCTTGGCCTCGGACAGCTTGCCCAGGGAGGCCGCGGCGGATCGGGTCCAGGACTGGCTGAAGACCCCGTGGGACACGCCCGGCGTGTCCAGGCTCCCGGCGAACAGGCACACCACGTCCGAGATGAGCGAGGAGAGCTCGGCGGCGAGGCCCAGAGAGCCCTGCTCGCCCGGGCCGGCCTCGTCGATGCGCTGCCGCAGGGACGCCTGCGCGTCGAGGAGCTCGGCCACCGCCAGCGCGGGGCGGCACACCTCGGGCAACGGCCGAGAAAAGACGCACACGCACACGCACAGACAGGCACACACAGACGGAAACTTCAGAAAGGCCCGCGCGGATCTCCTGGGCCGGCGCTGAAGACACACGTAAACTTCAGAAAGGTCCGCGGGGAGTGCTTGGGTCGGCGCTTGAACCCTCTCCCCACACCCCTTCCCCAGCGCGGGGAGCGTTCGGCGGCGCCGGGGGCGGCGCTGGGGAGGGGGGGGTCCAGCACCAACCCACAGAAGCCACGCGGACCTCCGAAAGCTCATGTTCATGCCGCCTTCCGTCCTCCACGCGCAAGGGTGGCCCTGGGTAAGTGTGACCTCTGGTGCGCGGCTCTGGGTGACCGCGACGGGGCCAAACACAGGCGCGCGAGACGCCACTGCCGCCTCGCATTCGGTGATCGGGGGACTCCGGCGAAGGGCCACTCTCACGCGTAGTCGGCTTCTGTCCTCGAGCACCGTGCTCTCCGCCTCGCGGCCGCCCCCCGGCCCGCACTCCGCCTGGCGCAGGGACTCGAGGCCGCGCAGCTCCAGGAGCTGCCTCAAGCCGCTCTCGGCGGCCCGTTGCGCCGGCTCCCTGCAGGCGGCCTCGAAAGCGAGGTAGCTCCCCAGGTGGCACCTGCGGGGGCCGATGCAGGAGGCGCAGATGCCCCTTCGGCGGGCTCGCGTCGCGACGACGTCGGCGTCGGCGCCTGGCACCGCGCGGGTCGTGCATATCGTGCGATACCGGCCGACTCCGGGCCACTGGCGGCGACGACGCCAGGGGTCGCCGAGGCGTGGCTCGCGGAGCGAGCCCACCGTGCCCCCAGGGCGCCTTCCTGCCTGGACTCCGAGAGCGGATCCAGCCACGGAGGCGAGGGCACCCGGGAGGCCCAACGAAGCGAGCACGAGGGAAGGGCGTCGGCATCGGTAGTAGGCTTTTCTAAAAGAAGAAATAAGAAACGCCATAAACAGAAACTGTTCGCGCTCCGCGCGGATTTCTTGAATCTTCGCTGCGCCCCCCTCCCTGGCGCGCGGAGCGCGCCAGGCAGGGGCCGGGGGCGCCCCCGGCCCCTCCCTGGCGAGCATCCAAGAAATCCGCGCGGAGCGCGAACAAATTATGTTTATGGCGGTTTTCTTCTTCGATTCTCCCTCTGAGCACCACTGCAGCAGCTCATGCTGCCACCGCGCCTGAGCTGCGGTCGCCCGCGCGGCCTCGTGGGCGCCACGAGCCAGGCCGCGCCTGCGCCGCAGCAGCGGCAGCTGCGCCCGCCTCGCACACAGCTGCGGAATGTCCTGCGCCGCGCCCGCGGCGTCGACGCCGAGGGCGCCGATGGCGGACACGACGCCGGCTACGGAGTTGTCCTGCGCACCAAGGCCGCCATGCACCACCAACCTGCCCAGCCGGGGCCACCCTGGGGCGTACATGGCGGATTTCGTAAACCCTGTGCCCAAAAACGTTTTCATCCCTTGGACGCGTTTTTGTTGCTTCCGCCGCCTTCCGCAGAGCTTCCACAGGCCTCCGCCGGCGGAGGCGGCCTCGTTTTACTTCCGCCGACCTTCCGCCAACCTTCCGCCGCATTCCGCGGCGGAAGAAATGACAACTCATTCAATCCTCAAAGGCAAGGCCCTTTTTGGAACGCCCCAGATATGGTCGTGTGCAAACACTCCTCTGGCCCCGGCCCAGAGGGCGTCCACGCCACCCCAGGGATCAGGATGGCCCTGGCCAGGCACGGTTGCTGCTTGCAGGAGCCGTCTGCGGATGTCCTGGAGCGCTGCGCTCGAGAGGTCCTGAAGGGTGGCGCGCAGGAGGGGGCGGGGCGAGGGGGAAGACCAGAAAGACACTGAGGCTCCCCAGAAGAAGCACGGAGGCTTCCGAGAAGCCTTCGCAAACGGTAGCAGGCCCTCCCTGAAGCCGCCTCGTGCCAACCCCCTCCGCCACCCCAGCCTGCGCGACGCCCAGTCCTGCAGGCCGTGCAGCTGCTCCAGCGTGAAGCTGAGGAGGTACGAGGCGACCTGGTCGAGGCACGGCAGGAGGCAGAAGGACGCCAGCCTCGCCAGCTCCACGCCCGCGCACACGAGCCCCGGCGTCTCCGGCCGCAGCAGCAGCCCCAGCAGCAGGTCCACGCTGGCGCGCGCTGTCATCAGCTCGGCCAGCGCCCGCTGGCCGGGCACCCGGCGGCCCGCATGCGCGGGGCGGGCCTCCGCCTGGGGAAACCAACAGTTGGCGGCGCGCAGAGCAGGGTAGGGAGAGGGGGGGGCAGGCTTCTTAGAAGCGCCCCTGCTTCTTGGAGGGCGCGGGCCTTACCTGTAGATGTGAGGCCGGCGCCGTCTAAGAAGCAGCCTCCTTCTAAGGAGAGCCTTGCCCCCTCCCCCATGTGCGCGCCGCCAAGTACCGATACCGCTCCTCCCCGGACCGCTCCCGGGGCGCGTTCGGACCAGGACTCCGAGGCGAATCCAGCGGTGGCGACGAGGGCCTCCCAGGAGGCCCCCCAAGCGGGAAAACGCGGGACGGGTGGTGGTTATGGGCACCTTCCCAGACACGCGACGTCCTGATTTTTTCAGGACGGCGTCCCCCGAAGTCCAGGGACCGCGACCGGTCTTTTGTCCCGAGTGGTGTTTTTGGACGGTCCGGCGAGGGCGCCCCGAGGCCGAAACCGACGGAAAACTTGCCGTCCAGATTCTTTCTAACGACGCGATCACGTCTGGGTCTCCTCCTCCGACCGCCTGCTCCTCCCCGAGGCACGCGCTGTCGACCTCCCTCGCGGGGCACGCCCGCAGCGCCTCGCAGAGGGGCGCTGGCAGCACCCCGGGCGTGCAGAAGCCCTCCCGGAGCGGGGCCTCCGCCTCGGCCCAGCCCCGGCTCTGCGGCTTCGCGCCGCGGACGGCCTCCGAGGTCTCGTCGAGGATGCGGACGGCCTCGCCGATCTCCTCCGCCATCCTGCGCACGGTCGGTGCCAGGGACACGTCTGCGTGGAGCTCGAGGGCCGCGTCCGTGGCGGACATCGCCTCCGAGCACCTGCTCTGCAAGCTGGACACCTCGCGGCCGAACTGCTCCGCCGCGCCATCGCGTGCGGCCCCACTCGGCATCTCCATGATCCGCAGGGCTTTGCCGGCGAGGATCTCGCCCTCTTTCCTCATCTGCATCAGCGAGCCCGCCCACGCACCGAAATCTGCGCAGAGCCTCGGGAGGCCCAGCAGGGTCGCACAATGTTCCTCGGTGCCCGCGCGGTGGCTCAGTGTGCTCGGATGTAGAGTGGTCCGGAGCCTGTCTTGCGATAGGTGGAGCTCGTGGCACAGCTTCTCAACGGAAGCGCGCGAGTCTGCCTGGTGAGCCCCTGCCGCAGTGGCCGTCTTGGGCTTGCCCTTCTTCACAGCCTGCGAGCCCTTGGTGCTCAGCTCCAGCGCGGGCCAGTGCTCAATCCCGCTTTCCACGCCAGCGGCGCCGACGCCCTGGGCCCCCGACGCGCCCTCGTCTGCTGCGCGTGCAGAGGCACTCATCTCGGCCGCCTCGGCCGCCTCCCTGGTGAGGTCCGCGACGGACCCCGGCAGCCGGCCTGCGAGGTCGACGGCGTGCAAGCGCGCCGCCGAGGCCGCCACCGCCGCCGCCTCGGCGTCGAGCACGAGCTGTGCGACCTCCTCCCAGTGGTGCGCGAGCACCGCGAGGCTGTGGCTGAAGTCGATCACGTTGGCCTGGAGCAGGATCTGGACCACCTGCGACACGCGGGCGCAGAGGCACGCGAGACGGCCGTGCAGGGGCACCCCCAGGAAGATCTCCTGGGCCTGGGCGTTCGGCGCCTGCGTGGCGCCGGGGTAGCCGAGGTCCATGGCCTGAGACACGCACGCGGAGACGGAGAACTCCGATGTCTTGCTGCGGCTGAGCTGGCGCACCTCCTCACGTAGAGGGACCAATTGGACGCCAGCAGCATTTCAGAGGTCCGCGCGGCTTTCTTGGATCGGCGCTGGGCCCCCCTCCCTGGCGCCCGGGGCACACCAGGGGCGGCGCTGGAGGCGCCGCCAGGGGGCCAAGCTCCGCGCGGAACTCCGAAAGCTGATGTCCATGCCGTGGTTCCCGAACAGCGCTCGGAATCCGAAGGATGGTGATCCAGGACCACTGGAGAGTCCCACAAGGAGGGGGGCGGGGAGCCCGAGACCGCCTGGCCCGGCAGCCGTTTCGCCTGCAACTTCCTCCAGGTTTCCAGGGACCGTGCTCTCACCTCGCTGCCGGCTACGCTTTCGGTCCAGACGGCCACGATGGCCCTGCTCTCACCTCCGTCACTGGCTGACCTCCTGCTCGTCGACCCGCCTCTCCACCCCTGCAGCTATCAGGGTGTTTTGTGATGGGCGAACTTGTCCCTCGACTCCTGGAGGACGTCCGCCACCTCGCAGCTGCACGCGAACACCACGGCAGCGAGCCTGGAGGAACAAGCAATGACAGAAGCACAAATTTTCGGAGGCTCGCGCGGAGTTCTTGGATCGATGCTGGGCCTCTCTGGCGGCGCCTCGGCGCCGCCCATGGCGCGCTCCGCGCGCCGGGGAGGAGGGCCCAGTGTCGATCCAAGAACCCACGCGAACCGCCGAAGGTTTATGCTTTAAAAGGCAAGCAACGGATTCTTTTGGTCGTCCCCATGGCGCCATCGGGCGCTATCAGGCGCCGCTTCGGTGTTATTCGCAGCTATTTGAGCCCACTTCGGCAATACTGGGCGCTGTTGGGCACTACTCGGCGCTATTGAGCACTGGTGAGCGATATTCGCCGATACACGTTCAACCCAAGACGCGCAGAAACTTCCGCGGCTTACTGTCTAATCTTAGGTCGGGCATGCCCTCCTACAGGCGCATATTCGTAGAAACATCTTGAAATACAGAGAAATGCTCAACAATAGTCAAAAAGAGCATGGAAACTCGCCCCCAGACTATTGTTCTGACCATTCGCGAACAGTCCGCCTGTACAGGGACATGCTCGCCTTAAATCTAATCCGATTGTGCCACAGCTTGCTCCTCGAGAAGAAGAAGAAGAAGAAGAAGAAGAAGAAGAAGAAGAAACATCGCCATACACAGAAACTGTTGGCGCTCCGAGCGGATTTCCTGGATCTTCGCTGGGCCCCCCTCCCTGGCGCGCGGAGCGCGCCAGCGGCGGCACAGGAGGCGCCGCCGGGGCGGGCCCCCAGCGCGGGTCCAAGAAATCCGCGCGGAGCGCATTTTCATGTCGTTTTTGTTTGTCTTCGGTCCTCGAGAGTCGGGTATCTTCTGACCCGGGTAAATTCGGACCCTGGTCAGTCAGGCCTTGCAGAATCCTGGAAGATCATGCGCCCAAGCCCGGATCAGTGCGAAAGATCCTGCAAGCTCCTGCAGGATCCTGCGCCCAGACCCGGGCCAGTGCGACCCTAGTCCTGCAGGATCCTGCAGGATCCGGCCCTCTGGCTGACCCGCCCCCCCTTGCCTTGACCCCCGTCTCTTCAGTCGGCTACACGCAAGAGTGACCCTGGGTAAGAGTGACCTTTGGTGCGCAGCTTTTTGGGGACCGCAGGGAGACCAAACCTGGGCGCGCAAGCCGCTGCTACTGCTTCATGTTCAGCCATCTGAGGGCCCATCTGTGCCCGCACCAAAGGTCATTCCGGCGAAAGGTCACTCTTGCGTCTAGTCGATTCAGGCCCCGAGAGGGCCTCCTCCGGGCCACGCCGGAGGCGCGCCCCCCCACGGCGGCCGCGCCCTGGAGCAGCGGCGCCCTGCCCACGTCGCCCCGCAGCGCGTCCTCGGCCTCCGCGTGCGCGGCCGCGAGCTCCTCGGCGCGCAGCGCGCCCAGCGCGCCCTCGGGCGCCGTCCAGGCCTCCAGGCGCTGCGCTTAGCTTGGGCATGTCCTCCGACAGGCGGATTGTGGACAAAATTTTAAAATTGTAAGGTGCAGGAAATGATCAAACACAGTCAGAAAGTCGTGCCCTGACTATTTTTTAACTGTTTTGCAATATTCCTCCTGTAGAGGGACAGGCCCGACTTAACGCTGCGCGAGACGCCGAGGTCGCCTCGTCGCCGTCGTCGTCGTCGTCGCCGCCGCCGTCGTCGTCGTCGTCGTCGTCGTCGTCGTCGTCGTCGTCGTCGTCGAGGCCCAGGCCTCCAGGCGCTGCGCGACGTCGAGGGCGCCGAGCTCGGCGCGGAGCGCACGAAGCGCGCGCTCGGCGGCCGCCTCGGCTGCAAACAAGAGTGATCCTTGCCCAGACATGGCCGCGTCTTGAAACGACTGGCCTGACGAAAGACCAAACCATGTGCAGCCGCGAGAACCGCGAAGGATATGAGGCGGAGGAGGGGGGCCCACGAGGTGGAACGCCCTGTAGGGCCACAAACCGTGTGAATGGTCAACCAAAATGGGGCGGCGCCGCCATGCGGATTCTGCCACTGGGGCCTTCGGTGGAGCCCCCTATGGGGCCACGAATCGTGTGAAATGTGCGCCAAAACGGGGCGGCGCCGCCATGTGGACCCTGCCACTGGGGCCTTCGGTGGAGCCACCTATGGGGCCACGAACCGTGTGAAGCGGTGCGCCAAAATGGGGCGGCGCCGCCATGTGGACCCTGCCACTGGGGCCTTCGGTGGGCTCCCTACAAGGCCACGAACCGAGTGAGGGCGCGCAAAATGGGACGGCGCCGCCATGTGGACCTTGCCACTGGACCCTTCGGTTGACTCCCTATGGGGCCACGAACCGTGTGAGGGGTGCGCCCAAATGGGGCGGCGCCGCCATGTGGACCCTGCTTCTGGAGCCTTCGGTGGAGCTCCTCCACGAACTGTGTGAGGGGTGCGCCACACTGGGGCGGCGCCGCCATGCGGACCCTGCCACTGGGACCTTCGGTGGAGCTCCCTATGAGGCCACGAACCGTGTGAGGGGTGCGCCAAAAAGGGGCGGCGCCCCCATGTGGACCCTGCCACTGGGGGGAACCTCCTTATGAAGCCAAGAACCGTGTGAAGGGTGTGCCGAAATGTGGGGGTGCCGCCATGTGGACCTTCGGTGAAACTCTCTATGGGACTACGAACCGTGTGAAACGTGCGCCAAGATGGGGCGGCGCCGCCATGTGGACCCTGCCACTGGGGCCTTCGGTGGGGCTCCCTTTGGGGCCACGAACCGTGTGAGGGGTGCGCCGACATGAATGCGGCGCCGCCATGTGGACCCTGCCACTAGGGCCTTCGGTGGAGCTCCATATGAGGCCACGAACCGTGTGAGGGGCGCGCCCAAATGGGGCGGCACCGCCATGTGGACCCTGCTTCTGGAGCCTTCGGTGGAGCATCCTATTAGGCCACGAACCGTGTGAGGGGTCAGCCAAAATGGGGTGGCGCCGCCATGCGGACCCTACCACTGGGGCCTTCGGTGGAGCCCACTATGGGGCCACGAACCGTGTGAGGGGTCAACCAAAATGGGGCAGCATCGCCATGCGGACCCTGCCACTGGGGCCTTCGGTGGAGCCACCTATGGGGCCACGAACCGTGTGAATTGTGCGCCAAAATAAGGCGGCGCCGCCATGTGGACCCTGCCACTGGGGCCTTCGGTGGAGCTCCCTATGGGGCCACGAACCGTGTGAAGCGTGCGCCAAAATGGGACGGCGTCGCCATGTGTACCCTGCCACAAAGGCCTTCGGTTGACTCCTTATGGGGCCACGAACCGTGTGAGGGGTGCGCCGAAATGGGGCGGCGCCCCCATGTGGACCCTGCCACTGGGGCCTTCGGTGGAGCCCTCTATGGGGCCACGAACCGTGTGAAGGGTCAGCCAAAATGGGGCAGCACCGCCATGCGGACCCTGCCACTGGGGCCTTCGGTGGAGCCACCTATGGGGCCACGAACCGTGTGAATTGTGCGCCAAAATAAGGCGGCGCCGCCATGTGGACCCTGCCACTGGGGACTTCGGTGGAGCTCCCTATGGGGCCACGAACCGTGTGAAGCGTGCGCCAAAATGGGACGGCGTCGCCATGTGGACCCTGCCACAAGGGCCTTCGGTGGAGCTTCCTACAAGGCCACGAACCGTGTGAGGGGTGTGCCAAAACGGGTTGCGGTCCCCGCATGCGGACCCTGACACTGGGGCCTTCGGTGGAGCTCTCTTTGGGGCCACGAACCGTGTGAGGGGCGCGGCGCTGACAGTGGCGATGCTCATGATGATGTGGATAATGACGATGGCGATGATGATGATGATGATGATGATGATGATGATGATGATGATGATGATGATGATGATGATGATGATGATAATGATGATGATGATGATGGTGGTGATGATGATGATGATGCTGATGATGCTGATGATGATGATGGTGATGATGATGATGATGATGATGATGATGATGATGATGATGATGATGATGATGGTGGTGATGATGATGATGATGCTGATGATGATGATGATGCTGACGATGATGATGGTGGTGGTGGTGATGATGATGATGATGATGATGATGATGATGACGACGATGACGCTGACGATGACGAGGTGGATGGGAAGAGGGAGGAGGGGGAGGAGGAGGGGGAGGAGGAGTGGGCACGCGGGGCGCTGCCTCTTCAAAACGAGAACCCAACACCACAGGATGGCTGGGGGCGGGCAACAAAACAAAAAGAAAAAACAAAAACAGCGGTTGGAGCTGGCTAGCGGTCTGGGGTGGAGCAGCACTTTTCCCAGCCAGCAGGAAGGGCGGGCAGGTTCGAGGTTCTGGGTTCGGGATTTTGCTCTGTTTGGCCCTTGCGGCCTCCGGGGGGTGTTGTCGGGCACCGGGGCCATGAAAGATGGATCTGAGGTGGAAAGCTCCACCAGATGGACCACGGGAGGGGTCCAAGGACCGATTTTGTACAGACTTGACCCCAACCTCCCTCCTGACCGAGTCTCTGGGGTCCCAGCAAGTTCAAGCCCCCCAACAAGGCGGAAGGTTTTGGACGCTTTAGGCATCTATAAGCCTTTATTGGGCCCCGGGACAATCAAAAATCGGGGGAACGGGCCAGAACTTCCGGGAACCCCGTGCTGAAAAAATAGGGCGTCGCATACCTTGGAGCCCAGACCCCCGACGTCATGATTTTGTCATAACGTCAAACCCCAATCGGTCTCGACCCCCTCCCCCGGACTGGTTTGTCGTCCTGGGTCGTGGTTTGATGGCCCCGAGGCCCAGGAAGCGCCCCCAGAGGCCGAAAGTCATGAAAAACCTCCCGTCACGATGATGATAAGCCGGTCCCTGGCAATGGGTCCGGACCTCTGCGGGTCGCGGCATGAAAGAATCATGACGTCGGGGGTCAGGGCTCGTAGACGAAGCCAAGACGAGGATACATCCGGGGGAGATCTGGCGGCTCTGCAGGATGTCTCGGAACGCCGGAACGCCCCGAGACCCCGAGAGCGCTCCGGAGCGCGCTGGAGCGGATTCGTCCTCGTCCTGGCCCCGCCCGGTACTCCCCAGACCTCTCCCAGGGGGCGTTCGGACCAGGGCTTCGAAGCGGAGCCGGCCGTGCCGAGGATAGGGAGGCGCAGCGGCATCGGCACCTCTTCGCCCTCGCGAGGCCTCGCGGCTCCAGGCCGGCACGAGGCCGGCCAGGCTCTCGGCGGTGCACGGCAGGGTCGCGACGCTGCCTTCGACCGAAACCCCAGCAGCACTCGCGCCTGAGGGGCCACGACAGGGGGGGGCTCAAGCACAGGGGCCGATGCATCGACCTGGCATCGGCGACACATCGCCGACAGATCGGCGACAGGCCCTCGGTAGTGAACCCGCACCTTCCTGGTGCAGGCTGGGGCTAAAACTCAGGCCCAAATCGGCGATCAATGGGCGATTGGGGGTCGATGCATCCCCCCCTATGCTTAAGTCGGGCCTGTCCTCCTACAGGGGGAGTTTGCACGAAAAAATTGGAATAGTCACACAAAAAAAAACAAAATTGCCAAAAATAAACAAGAAATCATCCCCTGACTATTTTCACTAGTTTTGAATATTCCTCCTGTAGAGGGACAAGCCCGACTTCGCCCTGTGCCTGTCCCCCCCCCCTGTCGTTGGCCCCCGAGCGCCGCCCCCGCTGGCGCCTGCCGGGAGCCACTGCGCCGGCAAGCCGGGGGAGAGGAGGCCGAAGGCGCACAACTCGTCCTCTGCGGGCCAACAGAAGCGGCTGGGAGGCCACTCCCGGGAGGTCTTCGCAGGAGCGGCTAAGGGCGATGCATCCCGACTGAAGTCGGCACGTATCATGAGGATGCGCGAGAAGGATGCAAGGGCCTTGGACGCCCATTTGGAAGCTTTGCAAGCGGGACGCGGCCAACGAAAGTGGCCAAGGATGGACCGAGGAGGAAAGGATGCAAGGGTACCCTTGGGAAGGTTGCCCATCCTTACCATGCGGGTTGACTGTAAGGGCGATTCATCCCGATTGAAGGGCCATGGAGCCAGAGCAAGCCAGATCAAGCGGGATTGAGCTGGCTGAAGCAAGAACATTCTGGATTAAGCGGAATTGAGCCGACTTGGGGAGTTTTCGACCAGAAATATACAAGCGCCGATTCAAAATTTAACCTCCCAGGAGTTGCATCTGGAGGAAGCGGAAGGGCCCTTTGTCCCAGACCCCCTCGCGTCGTGAAACGATCCCGACGGGAGGTGTTTGGCAATTTTCGGCCTCCCGGGCCACTCGCAGGGCCGCATGATTGTCTAAAAACGACTCTAGATGAAAAACGCCTGTCCGGGGAAATGGGTCGAGACCTCCAGGGGTCGACGTCACGGAAGAAGTCATGACGTCGAAGGACTGGGCTTTTCGCCGCTTTCAGGAAACTGTCTCTGGGACACGAGCGCGGCCAAAAAACGACTCCCTGAAACAGTGGGAAAAAGCACCTCCAGGATTAGATTCGAAGCCAGAACCAAAACAAGTGCGACAGAACCGGAAAGACATGGCGCTGGAGCTGGGGACACAAACTGCCAAGCGGAACCGGCACAGAACCTGCCTTGCCATTTCCAAGACCCACAGAGAGCTCGTCCAGGAGGATCTTGTGCGGGGCGTGCAGCAGCAGGCACCACCGGACCTGGAGGAACACACAAACATGTCATACACACATGCGTGCAGCATTTCTATATCCAGTGCGTCTTGGACTCTCTTGGGAGGGGCGCAACATGGCCAAGGCGCACTGGACACGGATAAAAACTCGCACCTCCAGGGACTTGATGTCTATCCATCTCGAGTGCGCCTCGGGTCTCTGGGGAAGGGAGCCCGAGACCTCAAGCGGCACTGGACGTGGACACCGATCTTGCCCGCAGTACACGCAGAGCTTCCCGAGTTCCACGCGGGCTGCGTGGATCGGTGCTGACCTCCCCCTCACCTTCCCTGGCGCGCGGAGCGCGCCAGTGGGGCCCAGCGCCGATCCAAGAAACCAAGAGATCCGCGCGGAGTTCCGAAAGACTATGTTTACGACATCTTCGGCGGGGAGCCCATGGGGGGGGGGAAGGTGAGAGGGGACAGGCCTGCTGAGGAGGCGGCAGGTCGCGACTTCTGAAAAAGTGTGCTGTGCCCTCTCCAAGAGCAGAGGCGGCTTCCCAAAAGAACGGAGGGCTTCTGAGCAGCCCCGACGCCTTCTGAGAAGGCTTGCCCCATCTCACTGCAGCCGCCCCCCGGGCGCGCCCCCGATTTTTTTCCGCGCTGAGCTCCGAAAGGTTATGTTCGCAGCCAAAACTACAAGTAAGAATGCATGACAAGGACGCAAGACCCTTGGACGCCCAGATTGAGGCTTTTCGAGCGGGGATGGCCATTGAAAGCGGTTCAGGATAGACCAAAGAGGCAAGGATGCAAGGGTACCCTGGGGAAGGTCACCTCGCCCTATCATTCATTTCCACTGTATGCATGTGGGCGAGAATCAGGAACTGGTCTCACGCGGTGGCTTATGCAGGAGCGCTTGTGCGCGACCTTACGTTTGGAAACTTACGCGAATGTCGGTGAAGACGGCCCTGTTTCCCTACGTCGTTCATTTGTCCTCAGACAGGCGACGTCATGTTTCGATACTTGAGCAATTACCGACCGTCCGGGCAGTCCTATAGGCTTACCACGACATGCTCTCACAACAAACGATGTAAGATGGTCAAGAAACACTGGCCGAACCAATGAAGCATATGCAGAACGCTCAGTGAATCCACGGAGCATTCCACGCATCCTTTCGTAGGCACGACGGAAAAATCAGCTTTGGGGTATTTTCATTCTGCAGTCGGCCCCTACCCGCATGTTTGGGCCCTTCTCCAGGACGCCAGAGAATCGGTCACGAGGGAGGTTGGTGCCAAACCCGCTCAAAGTCGGTCCCCGGACCCCTCCCGAGTGAACGGTTTCCGCCGGGGCCGTAGGCGACCCGAGGAGGGGAAGGAGGTAGAGGAGGAGGTGGAGGAGGGGGAAGGGGAGGACGAGATGGAGGAGGAGGAGGAGGAGGAAGACTAGGCAAGGGAACCCTGGGGCGACCCGAGGAGGGGGAGGGGGGGGAGGAGGTGGAGGAGGTGGAGGGGGAAGGGGAGGACGAGATGGGAGGAGGAGGAGGAGGAGGAGGAGGGAGGAGGAGGGGGAGGAGGAGGGGAGGGGAGGGAGGAGGAGAGGAGTAGAGGAGGAGGAAGAGGAGGAGGAGGAGGAGGAGGAGGAGGAGGAGCAGGACGGGTCGCCTAAGCCCTTCGGACAAACCCTTCACTCCCGAGGCCCAACTGGTGGAGTTTGTCGCCCTTGGCTCCGTGCTCCACGGCCCCATGGGCCCGACCACGGCCCCCCCCCCAGTCCAAAAGAGGCAGGAGCTGCCCGTCCACAGTTCCCTATATCCTAAGATGGGGTTCTTGTTATTTCTTGGACGCCGCCGACTCCAGAGAACAGGAACACACGCAGAACACATACTTACTCATGCACAGGCTTACTCATATTCAGACTTCCTCATACCCATACGTACTCCTACACAGACTTACTCATACACACACATACTCATACACAGATTTACCCATACACAGACTTACTCATACTCAGACTTACTCATGGTCAGACCTACTCATACTCAGACGTACTCATACCCTGACGTACACATACACAGACTTACTCATACACAGACTTGTTCATACTCAGAATTACTCATACCCACACGTACTCATACACAGTCTTATTCATACTCAGGCCTACACATACTCAGACCTTGTCATAGTCTGAGTTACTCAGCACATGGCAAATTCTGAGGATGTCTCAGGCGGCGCGCTGGCTTCAGCACCCCTAACGGGAGCCGCCAGGGGGTATATCACGGGCCTGTTTCGGTGCCCGACATCGTCCGCGTCTACAGCAGATTTGGAGGATGTCTCAGGCGGGGCGCTGGTTTCAGCACTCCTGAGGGGAGTCGCCAGGGGGTATATCACGGGCCCTTTCGCGGCCAGTTTGGGGGGTGTCTCACGCGGTTTGCCTGTTTCGGTGCCCAACAGCGTCTGCGTCTACAGCAGATTTGGAGGATGTCTCAGGCGGGGCGCTGGTTTCGGCACTCCTGAAGGGAGCCGCCAGAGGGGTATATCACGGGCCCGTTCTCGGCCAGTTTGTGGGGACGTCTCAGGCGGTTTGCTTGTTTCGGTGCCCAACATCGTCTGCGACTAAAGCACATTTGGAGGATGTCTCCGGCGCGGCGCTGGTTTCAGCACTCCCATGAGGGGACCAGCAAGACGCTGTTCCCTTGGGTCGTGCTCCGGCACGTACCCTCAAGGCCGCACGGAGGATGGAGTCGAGGCAAGAGTCGAGGCGCGGTGCTCCCTTGGGTCGTGCTCCGGCACGTACCCTCTGGGACGCACGGAGGATGGAGTCGAGGTAGAAGTCGAGGCGTGCTGCTCCCTTGGGTCGTGTTCCGGCACGTACCCTCTGGGACGCACGGAGGAAGGAGATGAGGAAGGATGCGCGCTGCTCCCTTGGGTCGTGCTCCGGGAAGTACCCTCTGGGACGCACGGAAGAGATTGCAGGACTTAAAGGACCTGGAGCACACTCTCCGTCCATTGGAGTCGAAAACAAGGGAACTGCTGTCGTTGTTTTTGTTTGGTTTCCCCGGGAACTCCTGCCGTTCGCAAATGGAGATTTTGTGAGGCGCGACCATATGCTTTTCGATTGCTTTTCAGATGTTGTTTCTTTTGCGTTTGAAGCCAGGTCGCGAGGTGCCGTTTGAAGCACTTGCCTTTCGCACTCCCCCTGGTGCTTCGGATGCGGCGCCAAGGGAATGCTTCGCCTTAACAAAAAAGATGCGCGGGCATATGCATGTGAATGGATGCATGCATGTAATGGATGTGCAGCCGCGCTGCGCGCACACGTGCTCGTCGCTCACATGGACGCGCTCGTAGAGCAAACAACTATCATAGACAAATGTTCACCGTGGCACTATCCTACACCATGACATGCACATATGGCCTTATGTGGCTAAACGCTCGTTCTACACATCCCACTGCCAACGATCCTAAAACAGAGACACATTCGAGGAGATCCGACCGCGGGCTGAGGAGGGCACGGCATGGCAGCTGAGGAAGAGGAGTGAGGAGGAAGAGGCTCATATTCAATCATACTCAAAGCTCATTCTGACTCGTACTCACTCGCTGGCATGAGGGTTCACTTGTCTTCGTCGGGCCTGTCGCCCAGATGGGCGCGCTCTTATAGTCAGACACTCATGAACAGACGCTCACTACGGCATAAGGTAAAACATGAGATGCACAGATGGGGAGCTCCACGCAGTGAGTAATTGTTGTTTCCGGACGCGGGCACGTCTGGGTCGACTTCGACTACCCCTCTATGCTTGTGGACGCTATGACAATGGACACTCTAACACTCTTATCATGGAACTGAAGATGTGTTCACCATGTTTATAACATGCTCTTACATGTTTACAACATACCTTTACATGCTAAGGACATATTCGAAACATGTTGCGGCATCTGGAAAATATTTAGCAGCATGTTTCTTCTCCGTTGATCGACTTGCACAACTCTATGCGTTGTCCCTGCCTGTGCTTTCTTTCGGGGCTGGCGGAACGGCGTTCTCCGCTGGAGCAGACCGAAGAGGCAAGGATGCAAGGGCACCTTTGGGAAGGCTACCCACCCCTGTCATCGACTTCGACCTTACCCGTCGGTCGGGGGAAGTGGGCAGAGACACGGAGTGGGAAGGCGTTGAAAGTAGACGTCTCCGGCCGCCCCCCGAAGAGGAGGGGAGCGGGGAAACCGCTCGACCCTTGAAGCAGGAAGGCGCCCGAAGAAGACCGGGACCTCGGACTCCCAAAGTATACCCACTTCCAACGACCAGCGAGCAAACATTTGGTCCGTCCCTCAGGTCGGGCGTGTCCTCCTACAGACGGATCCTGGAAGACACATTTGGAAAAAAGAGCCCAAAAGTGGTCAAGAGCGGCCACCGATCGCCAAGACCAGCCCACGAATCGTCCCCAGACCATGCTTGACTGTTTTTGGGAGAGATCCCCCCTGTCGAGGGACATGCCCGATGCCTGGCCCTCCTCTGGCAGGACCGTGTCCCGCGGGCCACCCGGCAGCCCCGCGGCGCCCCGCACCGGGCCGCCGGCGAGGCCCCGCAGCTGGCGCCGCGTGCCGCCGCCCAGGGCGCGAGCGCCGGCGCGCAGGGCCTCGCCCAGGGGCGTGCCCTGCCGGGGCGCAGACGGGCACGCGTGAGCAGAGGTGGGCGGCGCGCACAGGGTGGGAGGAGGGAGGGGGGGTGGCTTCTCAGGAGGAGGCTGCTTCTCGGAAGGCGCCAGCCTGACATTTCTAGATGAGGCCCGCGCCTTCTGAGAGCCAGGGGTGCTTCTGAGAAGCCCTCCCCCCTCCCCCCACCCCCCTCTGCGCGTGGCTGAACAATGTGTCCTCCTCGGAGGCGCGCGTCCGACCCGAGCTCCGATGTCGTGATTTCTTCAATGCGGGGTCCCCGGAAGTCTCGTCTCATTCCCCAGGACCGGTCTTTCATCCTGATTAGTTTTTTACGGTCCCGAGGCCCGGCGAGGGCCCGTAGGGGCCGAAATTTGCGGAACAAAAATACGTCTTGATTGTTTCAATACGTTGGATCTCTGGGCAGAACGGATTCCGAAAACCCCGAATCCAAAGACGTTTTTGTTCACCTCTTGGAGGGTCGCATGTTCCACTTTCGCCGCCCTCCGCCGCCCTTTCCGCGGTGGAAGAGATAACAACTCCTTCGATCCTCGAAGGCAAAGATGTTTTTTGACACGCCTCATACAGCGCATGCGGTGTATCATTTCCCGAGCGGCACGGCCAGAGAGCGTCCGCCACGAAGCATGTACTACGAGACTCCTCGGGGCGAGAGTCGCCCCTGGGGAGGCGGGCGCGCACACAGTATCATTGGTATGTTCGGGTGGCGCTTCTTCAAAGGATGCTGCTTCTTTGAAGGCACCGGCCTTACATCTATAGATGAGGCTCGCGCCTGCGGAGAACCCGGGGAGGGACCGGGGGAGTCAAAAGCAGATGAACACGAGCCCCAGGTCTGCCTACAACTTCCGCCTATCTTCTGGATCCTCGTCTTCCTCTCCACTGCCCCTACTGTCCCATATTTTACCGCAAGTCGACGATTACTGGTGTCTGTGTCTTCTTTCCCAGCCTGATGTCTCTTTAAATTTGTATGTATAGATCTATCTAAAGAGAGAGAGAGAGAGAGAGAGAGAGATCAGTTCAAACACTGTTTTATTGTTTTCCCTCCTGGTCCTCGCCGGGCCCGTCCAGGTCGAGCAGCTGCAGCAGCCCGTGGTGCGCCTGTGCCGCCGGGCCCGCCTCGGTCGGTAGCGCGTCGCGGGAGCCTCGCGTACCATCCTGCTGCCCCTTGCGGATCGACGCTGACCGATACTCATCGACGCTGCAATCGACGCTCCCCGACGCTGGTCGACGCTAGGTCGACGCTAAGTCGACGCTGGATCGGCGCTCTCTCATCGACTACCAGGCGCTGGCTACAAGAATAACAAAACACGCCATAAACGTAAACGTCTGGCGCTCCGCGCGGATTTCTTGGATCTGTGCTGGCCCCCCCTCCCTGGCGCGCGGAGCGCGCTGGGGGCGGCGCCGGAGGCGCCGCCAGGGGGGCCCCCAGCGCGGATCCAGGAAATCCGCGCGGAGCGCCAACGGTTTATGCTTATGGCGTCTTCCTTCGACTAGAGCACGCGGATGCACTCGAATTACGTAAGGACTTCCGAAGACATGCGAGGCTTCCGTGATTGGCTACGGAAGGCGCGCTGGATATGGATGAAGATCGGGCCCCCAGAGGCTATGTTTGTCCATATCCAGTGCGCCTCGGCCTCGTGGCGCCCCTTCCGAGGAAGCCCAAGACGCACTGGACATGGATCTAAATATTGATGGTCCTGTTTTCCACCACCACCACCATAACTAAGTTGAAGTGGGAGGGGTCCTCCTCCTCCTCCTCCACCTCCTTCCCCCCTCCAACTTATGGTGGTGGTGGTGGGCAACAGGCCCATCAAGTATTGCCCGCACTCGAAAGAAGCACTTGCCAAGACACGCGAGGCTCCCGCGATTGGCCACCGCAGCCTCGCCCTCCGCGAGGCCCTCGCCGCGGGGGTCCAGCAGCAGGCACAGGCCGCGCCTCTGCCGGTCCAGGCTGGAGGCCACGCTGCCTGCGGCAGGGATCGACCCAAACGGAGTCTTCCGTTCCCGTTCGGCTTCCGTGCTCCCTCGTGTCGTGTTTCGGTCCGCCCCTGCTGCAAAGAGAGCCACAGCGAAACGGACACGGCCCACGGCATCGCCAGAAAAGACCGCTCCTAGGTCGACCCCCGGGCCTGCGGAGTGCGACTGGAGCTGCGAGATCTTCATGTCGAGGACGTCCTGCACCGCGCACTCCTCCGCGCGGAGCTCCTCCAGCCGGTGCTCCAGGGGAGGCGCCTGCTCGACCGCCTCGACCTGGCCGGAGCCCGACGCCCCGGCCCCTTGAAGCCGCAGGCCCCGCATCGGAGCCCGGGCACGCAACAGCGAAGCCCGACGGCCCAGACAGCGGGGGGCCGACCACAAGGGACCTGCCACAAGGAACCCAAGCCTGAGGCCCCAGGACGTCCATGGATGTTTCGTGTGGGAACGTCGCGCTTTTTCCATGGCAGAACCATCGAAGCCAAAGAAACGCAGGGTACCCTGGAGGCAAGCAGGGTGTTTCTTGGCATGGGCTTCCACTGTAGCAGTTAACTAAAAAGCAGAGGTGAACGCAAACATAGAAATGCATGCAAGCCGGTAAACAGAAGACAGGGGAGACCTCCAGGCGCGCCAGCCAGGTCTCAGCAGTTGGGAAGCTTAGCCTGGCGACGGGTCCCACCCTGTGCAGGTGCGTGTGTTGCAGAGCGCGGCCCTCTCCTCAGATCCCGCGGGCGCCGCAGGACGGAGGGTGGTCGGGGCAGTGCGGAACGGATAAACGGCTGCGGGGTTCCCGCGTGGGGCACGATCCGAGAGAGGGGTGCCGACAGTGGGACGCAAGCGGCCGCCCTCTGGTGCACGCTCTGTGAGAGGGGTGTGCCGACAGGAACGCGGAGACGCGTGCGAGCGCCGGCACCGGTGCCGTGCACGAGGAACTCTCTCAATGGAGTCCACGATCCGCGTGAGGCGTGTGCGCAGCAGGCGTGGGGACGCGCGGGGGCGCAATCATTGATGCCGTTGGTGGAGCTCCGCTATGGAGCCTCACGGTCCGAGTGAGGGGTGCGCCGAACAGGGCGACGTCAGGGGGGGGGGCAGGAGGAGGGGACGGGAAGGGATGAGAAGGACCGAGGCTTGCGGCACGGCGAAGAGATCGCGAGGGCTGGGGATACACAAGTATACCTTCGCGGGATTGCCAGCTTGTCCTGTCTTGAAGCCCTCTTGGGGTCCTCTGGGGCTTTTCTTGTGGCGCTCTGCGGACGCTCTTGGGCTCTTGCGGCATCCTTGAGCCATATTGGGGCCCCCTTGGGGCTGGGGATCATTTGGGGAGTCTGGGGCCGTCTTGGAGGTCGTGGGGGAATGTTGGGACCGCCTTGGAGGCAATCTCAGACCATCTTGGAGACGTCTAGGGCCCTCTTGGGGCTTACGGCTTCTCGTGGGCCTCTGGGGTCTTCTTGACCGCTCCACTCTCCCTCTTGAATCCATCTTGAACAGAAGTCTGTAAAGTGCCCATGCACAAATACGTGAAGGCCCCTTGTCATCCTGGCGAATGACCCAACCATATACAGTTGTGAGCAACGCACTTGCGACTGAGGCCTTCAGTGGAGCTCCCTGCGGGGCCGCGCAATGACGACGCCCACGTGGCCCAGAGCAGGAAGCGGACTGGGAGGAGTGAACTGAGAGCAAAGAGCAGGGAGCCTCGGAGGGCTAGGTCAGGACTGAGAGGCGGAAGGAAGGGGGATGAGAATGGGGAAGAATGGACTTGGACGAGGTGGCAGAAGGCTCCCGTTCCTGGCCCTCGCCGCTTTCCGCGTTGCACCGGCCGCCACGGGCTCGGGCCGCTGCCTCTGGACTCTGGACTTTGCCCGGGCCCGCCTTCCGGCGCTCGAGGTCCACGAGGCCCCTGACCTCCCTGGACATGGTCACCTTGAGCCCCGAGTGCCTCGCCCGGGCGTTGTCCACGACCTCCCGCTGCACGACGTACGTCTCGAGAAGGTCCGTCACGCGAGTGACGGCCGTCGGGAGGCAGCCATCCAGGGCCGCGAGGGTCTTGCAGAGCCTTCGGATGGATGCACCAGCCGCCTTCGCTTCCTGTGGAGGGAGAAAGAAAACTCTCGGAGCCTCGGAGGTCCGCGCGGATCTGTGGGGATGGTGCTGAGCCAGGCTGTTGTGCGGCATGTGCGTTTGTGTACGTGGGCAGGCTCGCAAGCTCCCCTTCCTCCCAACGCGACCTGCTGCTTTCAGGCCGGGGAGGCCCCTCCTTCCACACTTTCCTGTCTTCGACTGCTGCCCGACACTTCGGGCTGCAGCACGGAGCGAGACACAGACGGTGCTGGACCCCATTCCCCCCCACACACCCGTGCTGGGTGAGCCGAAGAAGGGGAACAGGACGCGGGGAGTTGGCGCACCGTGACCCGAGGCATGTGCGCGGAAGAGGGGGGCACTGACCGCAATAAAAGGAGAAGGACAAGAAGAAGAAAAAGGCCTTGAGCAGGGACCGACCGGCCCAGCATTCCTGTAGGCCTACCACGACATGTTCTTAGCACATGGAAATGTTTAAAGAACTTAAGCAATGCTCTTAGGACATGAGAACCCGATGTGCTAAAGCCATATCGGCCAAAAGTACTCTGAAAACATCCCGCGCAAACCGCAAAGGGTTCGTAGAACATTCTTTGGTGGGCCTATATAGGGAAACCAGGACTCTTCGCCACTGCTTGAGAGGAGGGGCGCCATGCAATCCAGGAGAACTCGTGGCCCCGGCCGCAGGAGGATGAGGAGGAAGGGGAGGAAGAGGACGCCACCTTGGCCACTCCCTGGGTGTGCGCTTGGCGCCCCTCGCCGGGGCCGACCGAAGCAGCCCACCCCGCACACCTGGAGACGGACGGGCGAGGTGCAGCGAGGGCATTGGCCACAAAGACCATTATCGGGATGGGCGGATGGGTTTGGGAGGATACGGGGCACGACTGTGTAATAAGCACGCGCGGCATAAGCGCTAGTACGGATGCTCTGATCATCTCTCCCAGCCCCTTCCTCCCAACCGGATCCTTGCATTTCTGAAATGGAGAAGGAACCCTGCGAGGAGTAGTCCAGGGTCTCGAAGCCGGTGGCACTCCAATCCTAGATTGGCCGTGGAGGTAGCACCGCCACCCCCACTGGATGAGGGAGACTCCAAGGTCTGAAAGTCTCCCGGACACATCCCTGCTCGAACGCCCCCACGTTGTGGGGCGGAGGTGGGCTCCGAGGAACACCGCAGAGGTGGGCTGCGAGGAACACCGCCCTTGGGGAAGGAAGTGTGGGCGCCCCTCTGGGCTCGCTTCCTCGCCCCTCCGCGGGCCCTCGCTCCTTGAAGGGGGAAGAGATGGGGTGCACCCAGTCGTTCACCGGCGCGAGGAAGAAGCACGGCTCGGACAGGGAGAGCACGAGCTCCCGCCACTCGCGGAGCAGCCCCAGGCCCACCTCCATGGTCTGCAGGAACTTGCCGCTGACCCCCATCGGCCCGAGAGCTGACACCATGCACCTGTTGTTTTATGTTAGCCAGCTTGGGCCACAACCAGCGCGTTATTGCAGGGTGTGGGTGGAAGCCATGTCGTGTAAGCTATGTCGTGTGCGCTATGGAGTGTTAAAACTGGGCGGTGCAAGCCATGTGGTGAAAGCTGTGCCGCGTAAGCTGTGCAGTGTCAACTGGAGGTGGAGGCTATGGGGTGTAAGCTATGTGGTGTAAGCTATGGCTTGCAAGCTGTGCGGTGCAAGCCATGCAGAGCGCCCACGAGGCGGCACGGGCCGCCACGTGGCTCAGACTCGGCACGACCATCAAGCGCCAGGCGCCCCCGAGGCGCCCCCGAGGCGATCACGGGGCGGCACCGTGGCGCAACCTCGGCACACCCCCCAAAAGCGCGGGGCGCCCCCGAGGCGCCCCCGAGGCGGCCACGAGGCGCAACCGCGGCATGCCCTCCCGAAGAACGCGGGGCGCCCCGTCGAGGCGGCCACGGGGCGGCACGGGCCGCCACGCGGCGAGAAGCCCCGGCGTGCCCACGGATGGCCAGCGCGGGGCCCAGTCAGAACCCCTGCGTGCAGGCACGGGTTTATCAGCCTGGAACCTATCCCCATCCCTGTGTTGGGCATCGCCTCGTCACGATGGCGATCTTAGGGATTCCCTCAGTCTCTGAAGGTGCATCCCTAAGATTGTCATCGCCTTTTGGCGTGTCACTCTTAGGGATAGGGATAAGTTCGAGGCTGGTTACTGGTTGGGGAACCTGTCATTCGGCGGTGGACAAATCTCCCTTTAGCAGACACCCCTTCAGTGAAAACGGCCTAAGACCGAAACCGACGGACCTGGAGCCGCAGAAATGACGGCCGCGACGCCCTGTCGCGAACCGAAAACAGCCAATTCGCTAATCGACGTGTCAGGGTAGAAGGTCTATCAACCTCCGAATAATGCGCTTCTTCGTGATTAGGAAAAAAAACATAAACATAAACTTTTGGCGCTCCGCGTGGACTGCTTGGATCTGCGCTGGCCCCCCCCCCCCCGGCGGCGCCTCCGGCGCCGCCCCTGGCGCGCTCCGCGCGCCAGGGAGGGGGGTCCAGCGCAGATCCAAGCAATCTGCGCGGAGCGTCAAAAGTGTATGTGTATGGCCTTTTATCTACTTCGAGTGATGCTAATGTGTTGTTGTGCTGATGTTCGGATGCTGACACCATGCACCTGGTCAGTCTGAAGGGCACCCGCTCGGGCACGCGCAAGCGCTGGCCCCGGTCGAAACAGATGGAGTAGTCTACGTGGACGACCTCGCCGGTGGCAAAGTCGAGCAGCAGATTGTCCAGGTGCCTTCAGGGAAGCAAGATTTCATGATGATGTTGATGATGAAGATGACGATGGCGATGACGATGACGATGACGATGATGATGATGATGATGATGATGATGCTGATGATGATGATGGTGATGATGATGATGATGATGATGATGATGATGATGATGATGATGATGATGATGATGATGATAATAACGACGGCGACGACGGTGACGGTGACGGCCACGGTGATCGTGATGATGATGATGATGATGATGATGATGATGATGATGATAACGACGACGACGACGACGACGACGACGACGACGATGATGATGCTGATGATGATGATGATAATGGTGATAGTGGTGATGATACGTACCAAGATTTCCAGGTATTCAACAATTTCTCAAATCCCCTAATAATACCTGTGTTCCACACGGGCTGCAGAAATAAGGGCCGACAGATAGATTGGAAATCCTGGAACAGATCCTGAGCCAATATTGTCATGAGATTATTCCCGTCCTGTGCCTGTCGCCCAACCCGATCAGGTGGCCGATCACCGACATCAAAGCCACCGAGGACGCGTAAGCTGCGCAGCGGTGGAAGTGCTGAGCCGGATGCAGGGCGCTGAGGAAGAGCTCGCGGCTGATGATGTCCGTGGGACTGTCCGCCTGCATCTCCACGAACGTCTTCTGGAGCGCCTCCGTGGGCCAAGATCTCCGGGGCGTCTTGTCCATGTCCACGCCGGCATCTTGCAGGTTCTGCCTCATCTTCCTGTGCCACAGGTCCACGGAGGACTCCTGGAGGCGCCGCTGGCCTCCCCCGTCCCGCTCCGCCTGCTGCTCCTGAACAAAGTGCCGGCGCTGCCGGTGGATGACGAACAGCGGAACGGCCGAGACCCACCGGATGATCCCGGCCCTCGGGGCGATCGGCACCACCCCGTAATCGCGGCATCTCAGCTGAATCGGCGGACCCGCTGGCGCCGGCAGGCCCCGCACGGCATCCAGTGAGGCGCCCTGGTCGGCCGCGACGATGCTGTTGATCGCCTGCAGGAGCTGCATGATGCGCCCGTCCAGCCGCAGGTCGTCCCTGCCCTTCAGCAGGAAGGCGTGGTCCGTGCCGTCTGGCGCCTGGAATTCGAGCTTCTTGGGCTTGGTCTTCGTGGAAAGCATGTGGACCTTCGGCAGCACCCGCTGCACCCGCAGCAAGTCGGTGGCTGACGGGGCAGCCTGAATGGGCAGCACCACCTCGAGTCGCTGGCCGTCCGGACCTGGCTGAAACATCTCGATGAGGTCTGGGGCCAGGTCCTCAGAGAGCCGACAAGGCATAAACATAATCTTTCGGAGCTCCACGCGGGTCCAAGAAATCCGCGCGGAGCTCCGAAAAGTGCATGCTCGCGCCTTGCTCTGTTCCGCGAGTCCTGCAAGGTCACGAACGACACCCTGCAAAACTGGGCACACATCCGCAGCAGCAGCCTCAGGTGTGAGAGCAGGCTCTTCTGCAGCTCAGCGGCGGCGCCGTCGGTCAGCGGCACCGTGAGGTATGGCCGGTGGAGGAAGACCATACGCCGAAGCGCAGGCAGGAGTGTGGACAGAAAGCGCCTGGAGTACGGCGTCGAGAGGCAGGGCTGCACCCCCATGACGCAGAGCATCTCTGACCCTGGCGCCTCCGCGGACGCTGCGGACTTGTCGGAGTCCGCCTCGGGGCTGGACTCCTGCTGATCGGCGAAGCCCGCCGCGCTGGTGCTGGGGATGCCGCATCGGTCCTCCCCAACGGCCGCGTCGAGCGTCTCCAGCAGAGAGGCGAACTTGGAGATCACCACCTCCATGCAGTCCACCGCAGCTGCCCCACTCCTTAGGGAAACCAACAGGTGTACTACTAATACCGCTACTCCAAGACCTCTCCCTGGACGCGTTCTGACCAAAATTTCGGGGCGAATCCAGCGGTGGCGACGACGGCTTCCCAGGAGGCCCAAAGAGGCACAAACGAGGCAAAGTGTAGCAGTAGCGGCGCCTTTCCCTCCTCTGAACTCCTGGCCACCACGAACGTCTCCGCAAACTGGAGCAGCCGGGCACAGATCTCATCCACCGGCGTGGCCATCATGTTGAGCGTGCGCGCGAACAGCTCGCTGCCCCGCAGCTGCTCGGGGTACAGGCCCAGCACCGCCTGCATGGCCGACGCCGCCTGCGGCGCCGAGGCCTCGAGCTCCCGCTGGCCGACCGGCCCCGCGGGCTCCGCGGCCAGCGCGGGGAACACGGCCGCGTGAGGCGCCGCCCTGGCAACGGAAGCGAAGAGCTCGAAGGACAGCGCGGCCACCTCTGGAGTACCAACAAAACGGCGTAGGCTTAAACTTTCGACGCCTCGCGCAGATTTCTTGGATCTGCGCTGGGCCTCCCTGGCGGCGCCTCAAGCGCCACCCCTGGCGCCGGAGGCGCGCCAGGGACGGGGGTCCAGCGCCGACCCAAGAAATCCGCGCGGAGCTTCAGAAGTTCACTTGTAGCATCCAAAAATCGGATAGCGGGGCAGAGGCCTTACACCCTTCCGAAGAGCCTCTGGAAACTCTTGGAAAGAGCTTCGGAAAGAGCTTTTAGAAAGCTTCCGGGCACACGTATTGGGAAACAGTTAGAAAAAGGCCTTCCGAGACACGGTGCAGCTTGAGGCAACTCGCTGTGAGGTGTCCTGCCAGAAGCTGGAACGAGCTCTGGGTCTACCCTTCGGTGCTGGCTTCTAGTCTGAAGCCCCCTCAGCACTCTACGAGCTACCCGGGAATGTCAATGCAATTGTTTCTTCTTCGAACCTCCCGAGTCGGGTGCTGGGCGTAGGCCAGGAGCTGCGGCACCAGCGGCTCCCACACGCCCGTCGGCACAAGAGGAGGGGCCTGCCCGGCCCCGAGCAGCAGCTCCCGCACGCGCGCGGAGGCGCAAACCTCGGGCCGGTGCGCCAGTACCCGGAGGATGCGGAGGACAGTGCGCTGCCTCCTCGGGTGCGGCGCGGTGGTCTCGCCCAGGCTCAGGTGCATCGAGTAGGCGTGCACGCACTCCGCGGTCGCGACCGCCTCCCAGTCCAGGAGCCCTCGGCACAGCTCCGCCAGCGACGCCGCGAGGGCCTGCTGCTCCTGCGCGCCCAGGCCCTGCCACAGCCCGCAGGAGCCCACGCGCGTGCGCTCCGCGAGCCACTCCGGCGTGATGGGCGCCCTTCGCTCCGCCGCCCTGGCGGGGGAGCCCGGCGGGTCTCGGAAGGAGGCGGCGGGCCGCATCCACCGCCGCACGGCCTCGCGCACGCACCGCCGCAGCACCCGCAGGTCCTCGTGGCCGGGGGCCGCGGCGCTCGGCTCCAGCGCCACCGCGATCGCCTGGTCCAGGCGAGCGGCGTTGGCCGCAGCGCGCTGGGAGAAGAGCCAGTCGCCGTAGCGTGCCCACAGCTTCGCGCTCGACGGGCAGAGCAGGCACCCCTGCAGCGAGAGCCACCCCAGGAAGCGCTGGCTCACGGGGCCAGAACCAGGAGTGCTGGAGCCCGTGTCGGCCAACAGGGCCTCCGCCAGCGCCTTCTCTGGGTCGGAGTGTCCTCTCTCGGCTACCTGCCCGAAGGGGCTCCTCTCCAACAGGCAGGCCGCCATGCCCCCCTGCATACCAGCAAGAAGCCGGACAGTCTCACCAGCGGCCTCGCAGAACGTCGGTAGCGACCTTTCGCTGGCCGCCTGTGGCCAGCCCTGCGCGATCTCTGAGCCATGATTGCAGAGCAGCTTCGCGTACCTCGCCAGCAGCACTGCAGGCCCGTTGCTCTCAGACCACCCGTGCAGACCCTCGACTGATGTCATCTGGAGCAACAGCGGCCCCAGCCAGGGCAGCCCTGGATTGATGGCATCTGCAGCAGCCGCGGACCGTGCAGAGCTCTGCCTCTGCACCGCGCTGCCGAGCAAGGACAACAGCGCCTCGTGAACCACGAGGAACGCCTCGGGCGCCCTCTGCTGGCCCTCGAGGATCATGGACCGGTGGATCGAGACCTGCACGGAGCCCTCGGCGGCACTCCCGGGCTGCCGGCGCCCGTCCCCGGCGGCGCCATCTCCCAGCAGCATGCCCGCGAGCTTGAAGCTCCGCAGGCGCACGCAGTGCCTGGCAAGGCGGAGCCGATCGGCCTCGCTGTCGAAGAGCGGGAGGTCGAAGACCGCGGCGCAGTGGAGTTCCGAGAGGCTTCCCGCCTGGGCGCCGTGCTCCCGGCCCAGCGCGCCCGTGGGGCTGGCCAGCAGGGCCGCCTCTGCGGTGGCCACGAGCTCCAGGGTCGCAGAGTTGGGCTCATAGGCGTCTGGCCCGTGGAGCGAGAGGCACGGCTCCATGTGCGCGCGAGCCGCAATGTCCGCCTGCAGGCACACGCGCGCGTCGCCCAGTGCCCGCAGGGCTCGGTCAGCGCCGCCAGCAACGTCCAGCGACCCGACAGAGGGACTGCGGGCTGCCATGGAGGCTTCCACGAGGTAGATGCTGCCCAGGTCGGACCATCGCGAGAGGCCCGCGACGGCCTCGTGCACGTGCGCCCCACGCTCGGAGCCCACCCCCGCCGGAGCCCAGTCCTGCACCGCGCCCTCCTTGGCAGCACCGACGGCCTCGCTGCAGCCGTCGAAGTCCCGCTGCAGCAGGCACACGTACGCCGTGGCGAAGGCGCGCAGCGCCCCAGAGACCCGAGGGGAGCCCTCGTACGCTGCAAGCCACGCCTCCACCGCAGACGCGTCGTGCGACTGCACGGCCGCGTCGAGCCACGTGCGCGCCACGAGCGCCTGCATCGCCGGAGTCTTTCCGCCGCCGCCAGCAGAGGGCCCGCCGTCGGCCCCGCCGCCCAGCCGCGCCGAGAACAGCGCCGCCGCCTCCTCGTACCTAAGGGAGCAATAGGACGCCATAAAATCCTCAACTTTCAGAGGTTCTCCCGGATGTCTTGGCTCTACGCTGCACAGATGCACGAGCTCCCCTCCCTGGCGCGCAGAGCGCGCTGGGAGCGGCGCGCCGGGGGGCTCCAGCGCAGATCCTCGAAACCCGCGCGGAACCCCGCAGGTGCTCCTGCTCGCTTCGCCTTTCAAACTATTCAGGCACCGCTGGCCCGCGAAGGCCAGCAGCGCGTCCTGGCACGGCGGCGGCCCCGCGCCGCCCAGCAGGTGCGCCGCGTGCCCGTGCAGCGCCAGGGCGCCCCGGCAGAGCTCCGCGCTGCGCAGCGCCAGGGCGCTCGACAGCAGCGGCGCCAGCGCGTGCTCCACTGGCGCGCAGGCCTTGGGCGCAAATCAGCGGGGAGGCGATGAAGAAAGGAGGGGGGGGGAGGCAAGGTGCCCTTGTCGGGCCCTCTCGAGGCCCCTCCTGGGGGCCTATAGAGGGCTCCTTCCGGGGCCCCAACGGGCCCCGTTTCTTCAGCCCTCGCTGCCCCCATCGTTTACCCAGAGATCCGACGTCGTGATTTTTTCCCATGCCGGGTCCTCAGCAGTCCCGACCCATGTCCCAGGTCCGGTGTTTCATCCCGAGTCGTTCCCTCACGGTCCCGAGGCCCGGCGAGGGCCCCTATAGTTAGGGTTTTGACCTCCGTTTTTGTTTTTTCAATACGTTGGATCTCTGGGCACTCCCCCCCCCCCCCCCCCCCCCCCCCCTCCCCCCCCCATTGCGCGCCCCCCAGTGCCTCGGGGGGGCGGCCCTGCGGCAGGGGGTCCTGCGCGGCGGGACCTTCCGGCGGGACCTCCCCGGCCAGCAGCGGGAGCTCGTCGCGCTCGGGGACGGCGCTGCTGCCGCCGGGGGCGCCCCACTTCCTCGGGGGGGGGGGCGGCGAACGGGGGCGCCCCGCGCCCAGACGTGCCCGCGCCGTGCAGAAACCAGGGCTGGAGGCTTTGTTGGCCGTGTTCGGGCTCGTCGGGCCCTCGCCGGGCGCTGGAGCTTCTAAAGCAATTGCGCACTTGCTCCGGATGCAAGACCAGCCCTGGGGAACGGGTCGGGACTTCCGGCATCGCATGCATAGAGTCGCCGTTAGCATGAGTTGTTGCCGGCTCCCCCACCAAGTGCTACCCAACAGCGCAATGCACATGCTTGCCGGCGTGGGCGCTAAACACTGCCTTGGTGAACTCAGCTTGCTGTAAATTTGGCGAGGCGCAAGCCATGCGGTTGCAAGCTACGGCGCGCAGTCAATGTGGTGCAGCATTTGCGGTGCAATCTCTGTGGTGCAAGCTATGCGGTACATCCTGTATGATGCAATCTCTGTTCAGCCCTCGCCCAGGCCGGCCACGTCGCGTGCATCCAGGCTCCTGGTAGCCCCTGCTGGCCCCCGCCTGGCCGAACGAACATGCCTGCTGCCGCCAAGTGGCCCTGGCGGCCCCCGCCAAGCCCGACGAGCCCCACAAGCTGTACTAGAGCCACGCTGTCTTTGGGTGGCGCCAGCGCCCGCTGCCGCCGGGGCCCCTTCTGGCGACAACCCCGCCCCGCAGTCACCACCAGCTCGGGGTGGCGCTGGCGCTCGTCGCTTCCTCCAGCTCCCACTTGCCTCTTCCTGGCCCAGAAATGCTACTAGCCCCCGCTGGCCCGCTAGCCCCAGCGGCCGCAACTAGCACCAGGAAGCTGGAAGCACACGAGGCTGAGTTCGCATGCGGAACATGCGGAGGCCACTTGCTGGATGAACATGCGGAGGGCTGGCGTACTTAGCGATACAAGGGCCGAGCGCTGGAAAGACGTGCGGCCATATTTGGTCCAGGGGTGCACCCCCCCGTCCCCCCAATGCATGTGGCATCGAGCCCGTAAGCCCGTCAGCCTCGCGAAGGCCTCGCAAATTGGATCGTTCCCCCCCTCTGTGGTCGTCGCCCTGTAGGCGTGGCGTGGAGGAGCGTGCCCGTGCCCCCCCCTGTGAGTGTGGGGTGATTCGTCGTCGGCGTCGTCGTCGTCGTCGTCGGGGGCGGCGGCGTCGTCCCCGACCAATCCCATCTGGGGGGGGGCAGGGGCTGTGAAATCCTGGGGCCCATGCCGTCTGGGGGGGAGCTGTGAAACCTCGACCCAGGATTTTGGATGGACTCAGCTGTCGCTCAGGCCAGCATTAGGTCGGGCATGTCCTCCTACAGGCGGATTTTGGACGAAAATAAAAAAACGGCAAAATGATTCAAAAATACTGAAAAGTCGTCCCCTGACTATTCTTTGACTCATTTTGAATATTCCTCCTGTAGAGGGATGTGCCCGACCTAAGGCTAGCTTTTCGGTATCATTTGGTTCAGTTTTCAAGCAGTTTCCCTCCAGAAGCGAGGGGGGCTCACGCAATCGTCGTGCCGCGGCGTGGCCGGTCGGTGCGTCCTTCGATTGACATTGTCTGAAATCGTCACTGTTTGGGGTCTACGCGCGGGCATCGTGACCTCACGACTCGGGCTTGGGGTGTTTTCCGGTCGCCCGCGGCCGGCGCCATTGCTGCGGACGCGAGGCGAGCAGCAGCAGCGAGGGCGGCAGGCCCCTCCTCTCCGCCTCGGGCACGTGCTGCCGCAGCACGTCTCCCAGCCTGGCGAGGGAGACCGCGTAGAGGGCCGCGTGAGAGCCGTGCTGCGCCAGGGTCTGGCGAAGCACGCCGCGCATGCGCTGAAACCAGTCCCCGCACACGCGGTGGTTCGCCTCGAAGAACTGGCAGGTGCTCTTGGAGTGCAGCTCGGCCTGCGAGTGCACGGGCTGCACCTGGACGGGCTCCCTGGCGAGCAGCACAAGCTGCTCCAGGCCGTGCACGAGCTGGGCACACGCCAGGGGGCGGTAGCTGTTCTCGACAAGCTGGTGCGCCAGGGCGGACGCCGTCGCGACGCCCCTGTGCCGCGAGGTGTGCAGAAAGCCCTGCACCCCTTCGCGCACCGCGGAGGAGGAATCCACCAGCAGCGTCTCGAGAAACTGCAGCGACGAGGACGCTGAGCCGAAGGAAGACCTCAGGCGATGGTTCACGAAGGCAGCCGCAGCCTGCAGCATCAGCCAGAGCGGCCTGCACACTGGAGGGACATCTTGTGGAGAGGCCGTGGAAGTCCAGAACAGAGCGGCTATGTGGGCCTGGTTCTCAAGAGTGCGCAGGGAAGTCAGCAAGCTGACCAAAGCGCTGGGCCCCAACGGCGACGCGGCCGGCAGAAGCCCTCGAAGGTGTGCCGCGCAGACAGCCTCTGGCTCTGCGGCCGCCGCGGGTGGCAGGCCACCCGGCGGTGGGACGGCAGCGCTCGCTAAGGCCAGCAGCCTCGCTCGTGCCTGCAAGCACCACTCCGCAGAGCTCCCCTGCTCCGTCCGCAGCTGGTCCCCGCTCCCCTCGCCACCCGTGCCAGCGACGTCCAGCAGCTCGGGCAGACGCCCCTGCAGAGCGGCCACGTAGGCCGCCGCGGCCGCACGCGCGGCGCCGCCGAGGCCGTGGCCGCCGACGACGGGGCACAGGGCCGCCGCCACGTCCAGCGAGCCCGCCGCGGCGAGCCCGCCCTGCAGCAGGGCCAGCTGCGCCTCCCGGCCCAGGCACCGCCAGACCGCCGCGCTGCTGCGGCACACCGCCCCCCGCGCGGCCCGGCCCTCGAGGCCGCCCAGCACGCGCCACAGCGGGGCGCCGACGCTCTCCAGCGCCCCGGGCTCCGCGCGGTGGCGCGCAGCGTCCAGGACCCCCGCGAGGAGCAGGCCGCTGCCGGGGCTGGGCGGGAGCCCCTGGAGCACCTGGAGCAGAGCGGGGAGCGAGCGCCCCGAGTGCCGGAGGACCCCGAAGTGGAAGGCGAGCAGCGGAGCAGCCGCCGAGTCGTGCAGCGCGCGCTCGTCCAGAGGCTGGCTCTGTGGCGGGGGTCCTGGCGCCGACTCCGGCGGGGGTGCCAGCCAGCGGGCCGTCTCTGTCAGCTCGTGCTGCTGCCAACCCATCAGCTCCTTGCTGAGCTCATCGACGACGAGCTGCTCCGCGTCTGGCCCGCAGCGCAAGAGCAGCGTGAGGTATATCTTGGACACCAGAGACCTGGGGAAGCCCAAGGGTACCGATACCACTACTCCCTGGACCTCTCCCAGTGTGCGTTCTGACCAGAATTTCGAAGCGAATCCAACGGTGGCGACGAGGGCCTCCGAGGAGGCCCAGGAGGGGGAAAACGGGCGGAGGGTAGCGGCATGGGTGCCTCTTCCTCCTCTGAAGACCGTGCCACGGGGTCGGGGGTGACGCTCAGGTGTCTGAAGGTGGTGCTCCGAAGCACTTCCAGCACGCACGCGGCACCCGCGGAGCAGCCAGCCGCCTCCAGGCACGCCAGGTGCACGCACAGGCACGTCCGCAGGCCAGCCACCGCCTCCTCGGGCTCCACGAGGAGCTGCCGCATGCAGAAGTCGGCACCTCGCACGAGCACCGGCACGGCAGCATCGTGCAGCTCGCCGAGTCTCCCAGAAGCAGTGGCGATGCCGCTGAAGCAGCGCAGGAGCGCACGGAGGCGGCCGCTCACCCCTACAGGTCTGGCTGGAGCTGAGAGCGTGATGTCATGGATGTCCGCGAGGAGCCTGCGCTGCAGGTCTTCTACAAACACGCTGTTCTCTTCTGCGCGCCAGTGGGTCTTGAACGACGAAAAACTCTCCAGTATGGCGCTTCGAGTTTCACCTGACATCGCTGGCTCGACGGTCCCGCCGAGCATCAGTTCGACGACGCCTTGGAAGCAGCGGTGAAAGTCCGCGGGCGCCCACTCGTTGATCACCACGAAGACCTTCACCATTCCAGGAAGCAGCAAGAGACTGCTCTTGGCCTCCAGCACCTCCAGGCACGCGCCCAGGACGTCGGAGGCATGTCCATCTAGACCGACAAGCACGCCATCGTGCTGTGCATCCTCTCTTGCCGCCCCCGTTTCTCTCGATGCCTGGAACTCCGCAGCAGCACTGACGATTTCGTACACTACTTGCACAAACGCTTGCAGCCTCTGGACCGGCTGCGAGGGGGACGGATGGGCCAGCACCGTTTCCCAAACGGCGCGAAAGCTGGAAAAGCGAAGACCATACCGACAGAGGCACCTTCCCACAAGTCCAGGAACACTACCGCTGGGGCCCTCCAGCACAGCGCACTCGAGGAGCGCCTCAATGAACTCCTGCTCGCGCGAGACTAGCTCTTCAAGAGCCACGTGAGTACCCTTAAAGAGCGCCTCGACCGCCCGCAAGGACGCAGCCCTCTGCTGGCTGTCCGAGGATACGAGGCCCGCCAAGTGGTCTCCCCTTGCTGCGAAGCTGGCCGCCGCGACGCTACTGCTGGAAGGCGGTTCAAAACGCTCTGCACACACCACCCGGTCTGACACGGGAATGTCTTCTTCGCCCCATGCCCGCATTCACCACCACCAACAAGCGCTGAGTAGCCAGAGTGCGCTGCTCATGTGCTTGGCGAAGCTTGGGCCAACGTGGAC